TTTGTTGCTACAGGCGGACCGTCTTGGGTGCTCTCTGGAGTACATTTTTTATACCTGGTATGACGCCACATCTATACGGGGTAGAGTGGCGGCTTTGAAGGAGGCACGCCAGGAGGTTGCTCGCAAGCCCGGGCTCAGGGGTTTGTTGCCTGAGTGGCTACAACATTTTACATGTGTTCCTGGAAGCTTTTCTCAAGCCTCTAACCCTTTCCTGGGAACCGACTACTGTGATGTTGGAGGTCCACAGCGTCTCCAAAAGGCCTCTAAGAGACGCAGGGCCAGGATTCCAGCCCGTGCCCCAGCAGCCATGGTTTCAGCCCCAGGTCTGGTCCCAGAAGCCATGGTTCCAGCCCCAGTTCTGGCCCCAGCAGCCATGGTTCCGGCTTCAGTTTCGGCTCCAGTACTGGCTCCCCGGCCGACGCCAGCCCCCCGTGTTTTGTCAGTGGTTCGGCCCACTCCAGCCCCTCGTGTCCTGTCGGTGGTCCGGCCGACTCCAGCACCTCGTGTCCTGTTGGCTCTCCGGCCGACGCCAGCCCCCCGTGTTTTGTCAGTGGTTCGGCCCACTCCAGCCCCTCGTGTCCTGTTGGCTCTCCGGCCGACGCCAGCCCCCCGTGTTTTGTCAGTGGTTCGGCCCACTCCAGCCCCTCGTGTCCTGTCGGTGGTCCGGCCGACTCCAGCACCTCGTGTCCTGTTGGCTCTACGGCCGACGCCAGCCCCCCGTGTTCTGTCGGTGGTCCGGCCGACTCCAGCACCTCGTCTCCTGTTGGCTCTACGGCCGACGCCAGCCCCCCGTGTTCTGTCGGTGGTCCGGCCGACTCCAGCACCTCGTCTCCTGTTGGCTCTCCGGGCCGACGCCAGCCCCCCGTGTCCTGTTGGCTCTCCGGCCGACGCCAGCCCCCCGTGTCCTGTTGGCTCTACGGCCGACGCCTACCCCATGTCCTGTACCGTTGGAGGTCCCGCCGACTACTCTTCTGCCGGGGGTCCTGCCAACCCTATGTCCTGTGATGTTGGAGGTCCCGCCGACTACTCTTCTGCTGGGGGTCCTGCCAACCCTATGTCCTGTGATGTTGGAGGTCCCGCCGACTACTCTCCTGCCGGGGGTCCTGCCAACCCTATGTCCTGTGATGTTGGAGGTCCCGCCGACTACTCTCCTGCCGGGGGTCCTGCCAACCCTATGTCCTGTGATGTTAGAGGTCCCGCCGACTACTCTCCTGCCGGGGGTCTTGCCAACTCCATGTCCTGTCCCATTGGGGGTCCCGCCGACTACTCTTCTGCCGGGGGTCCTGCCAACCCTATGTCCTGTGATGTTGGAGGTCCCGCCGACTACTCTCCTGCCAGGGGTCTTGCCAACTCCATGTCCTGTCCCATTGGGGGTCCCGCCGACTACTCTTCTGCCGGGGGTCCTGCCAACCCTATGTCCTGTGATGTTGGAGGTCCCGCCGACTACTCTTCTGCCGGGGGTCTTGCCAACCCTATGTCCTGTGCCGTTGGGGGTTCCGCTGAGGGTCCTGCCAACTCCACGTCCAGTGTCGTTGGGGGTCCTGCCGACCCCATGTCCTGTCCCGTTGGGGGTCCCGCCGACTACTGCTCCGCCGGGTTTCCTGCCAACACCAGATCCTGTCCTGTTGGGGGTCCCGCCGACTACTGCTCCGCCGGGTTTCCTGCCAACACCAGATCCTGTCCTGTTGGAGGTCCCGCCGACACCTGTTCCACCGGGGGTCCTGCCAATTCTGTGTCCTGTTCCGTTGGGGGTCCAGTCGACACCAGCCCTTGCTACGCCTGTCCCGTCGGCTCCGGTTCCTGTCCGGCCGATACTGGGTCCTGCCCGTACTCCGGAGCTGTCTCGTCGCCGCCTTCTTGTTCGCCCTCGAGCCCGGCCTCCTGAGTTCTCCAGCCGCGGTCTTCGCCCTCGGGCTCGGCCTCCTGATTCTTCCAGCCGCTGCCTTCGCCCTCGAGCCCGGTCCCCTGAGAGCCCCTGCCTTTGCTCTCATGCCCGGCCCCCTGAGTTCGCCCGCTGTGGCCTTCGCCCCTTTTTGGACTCTGCCTTGCCCCCAGGCCGTCCGCCCGGGACCCCTTCCGGGCCCGTCCACCGGACCCCCTCCACCCACCCTTTTGGAAATGTTGGACTATGTTTTTTGGGACGTCTGGGATCCGTCCCTTGAGGGGGGGGTTATGTCACGATCTGTCTGTGTTGTGTTTTGTCTTGTCTTTTTCTGTCTCTGGTTTCCTGTTTTGTTTTGAAATGTTTTCCTCCTTGTGTCTTCTCTGTTCCTTCTTCCTGTGTTTGCCTTCCTGTCTTAGTTTCCCTGGTGTGTCTGATTGTTTGATTGTGTTCACCCGTTGCCCTTGTGTTTCTGCCTCCCTTACCCCAGCTGTGTCTCGTCTTGTGATTACCCCTCTCTGTATTTAGTCTTGTCTTCCCCTGTGTGCCTTGTCGGTTCATTGTTTGTTTCTCCTGTCTCCCACCATGTTGGTCACGGTCAGTTTCTATAGAACCTATGTGTTTCATGCCATGCTATTGTTCAGCTTTAGAATAAAGCTCGTTTTTGTTTCGAGACCGTTTACCTTTTCTGATAGTCTGCATTTGGGTCCTACCCTTCCACGCATCCTTACAGAAAATCAATCGACAGTAAAGAAAATACTTACTTCCGGGTGTAAAATCCTCCGTTATCCAATGGGAATGGACGCTCACATTGCCTTTAAATTCCGCCGACATGGACCGATGCGGTGCTTCCCTGAGCGTCAAATACCGCCGCCAATGGGAATACATTGCAATCAGTTGAAAGCTCTTTGTGTCCGTTTATGAAGCTGAAGGAGACTCGGCGCGTCACAACTGCACGCCAAAGGACCCTGACCAAGCGTCGCTATTGGACTATCAGGGATTGAGACTGTGTTGGTTCCTGCACGTCCGCTGCAACTCTTAATCAACTCTATTAATCCAGGCTGAAGACTTCTCTTTTTGCCGCTGCTTTTAATGGATATATTCATATCTCACACTGCACTGTAACTTTTATTTATGTGTTATTATTTTTTACATTTTATTATCTTTGCTTTTAAATGAGTGTTTTTAAATGCCATTTTACAATATGTTTCTGCTGCAATATTTCTTAATGCTCTATATGTCTTTCATTTTTGTAAAGCACTTTGAATTGCCTTGTGTTGAAAGGTGCTATATAAATAAACTTGCTTTGCCTTGCCTAAAGAAGTGCTCTGTATTTGGCTCTGTATATTATATTCTCACCTTATTTTTGGCTATCAATGAGACATATATGACTCCAACTTGAAAACACTTGTGGTCACATTTTGGTGGGCGAATAGGAGTGGCAGGACCTATAACAATTCCAAACCTCTATGCATCAAACTCTGAACTCCGTTTCCAGTGCACTTTTTTGACTCTGTAAAGACTGTAAAGATAACAATGTTGGTGAGGAGGTCCGTGTTCATAATATGGACCAAACATGGCTTTAAACATCTCCGACATTAAATGAAGACCCAGCCAGGAGAGTGCTTGGTCTCTTAGTGTATGTGAATTTAGTCTCAGGCGTTTTTCTGTCTGATCTGAATAACGAAGTGGCCAGAATGTACATAGAATTTGAAATAGATGAGGGGAGACAGAAAGAAAAACTGTATGATGTATGAATAGAGGAATGGAAAAGGACAAATTAATGAATGAAAGGTCAAGGGATGAAAGGATGAATGGTTATGGGGATGAAGGATTGAGGGATAAAGTGTTGGGGCGATGGAAGAGAAAGGGAGGGTGGTTTGTAAAATATGACTATCAGCATTTTTCCAAAGGCAAATCATTTAAATTGATTCTCAGTTGAAAACTCTGTCTGTGGATCTTCATATCAGAAACATCTCAGATCATTATGAACCATGTGACTCCTTTCTTTCCTATAGCACCACATGACAATATGGGAGATATTGAAAAGCAAATTCTATTTGTTTTGTAAGGCTAGATAATAATTTAACATTATATACCGCAAATTAATGAAAGGTTAAACAGAAAATCTGAAATCTAGAGATTTTTGAAGGTGATCTTTTCCAAACACTCGTCTGATGGTCCTTCACTTGTTGTAGAGCTGGCTGTTGATTCATTCTGATTTGAATCTTACACAGTAACATCTAACAAGGTCTTCTAGTGAGCTTATGTTTCATTTTGTGAAAATCTAAACTGTACATGGAGTGACATGGGATGTTTTTAGGGTCTCTGTTTTGAATAGACTTAATTGGCTCTGTCAGCCAGGACAGCTATTAACTAACACACTGATGAGGATTTTTCAAAGTTATTTATTATGTGGATTTAAAAATCTTATCCTAGACTTTTGTAATATCAACAACTCTATATATAACAAATAAGCATGTATACAGTAGTTAAATCAGCACGTTAGAGCACCTGATCATCAGCTGATCTTAACAATAAATCATGTTTGACACCTCAATATCACTTCACTTCAAGCTGCCAGCAGCTCATTCTTCTAAACCTATACATTTGATTTGATTTGATTTATTTGGAATGTGTAAAACAACAATACAAAATGTAACATGATAATTATTATACATTACAAAATTAAGCAATGTCAAATTGATAAACAAAAATATTACTGATTCTAATTTATGTATAAACAAATAATCTACTTAATTACACATCCGAAAAGGGGTGGGAAGAAGTTTACACTTATTGAATCCCACCCTTCTCCCAAAAACTAAATTAGTAACATATATATTTTATTTCCTTCTTTTTTTCTTAAATAAATACATTTGTTATTGAAAAACAAACAAAAAATAAAACAGATATACAAAAACCTCGCTTGGTTGTGGTAAAAGCTGCTGACTCCTTCCTGCTGCTGCTACTGAAAACTTAAAATAAAAACTTGAAACAAATGGATTTTTAGATGTCCTTCTTCTTTGTTTCCGTCAGGTGAGCGTCTGAAGAAAATCACAGGAGACTTTGTGTAAAGTTACAGCTGGAACTGTGACTCTAAATGTGGAGTGGGCCTGTTTGATCTGATGCAGGAGGCTCTAACCTGACTGGACTTCACACCAGGTCTCCCTGCTCCTCTGTGTCTTCTGTCTGTGCTGCAGTGTCTGAGTCGTTCTCATACTCAGGAAGAGAGTCCAACTGATGGGGAAAGAAGACAAAATCAGTCTCTTGATAATTAACTCTATATATTAGGAGATATAAGCAAAAATGTATTTTATTTTGAAGAAGATTAGTTGATGTCATTGTTTAATGACTACAATGTACTTAACCTCCTTTTCCAGAGCATTTATGGGACAATTTATAACCGAGACGTATTGGAAGGTTTGTCAATAGGTCCGCTCTCTCTCACCTCTATCTCTACAGGTTCATGTGCTTCAGTGGTGGAGTGCAGAGCTTTCTTCTTCCTGGATTGACAACATCAACAAGTGCAGAATTCATGACAGTGAAATGTGAGGATGTTATAAGAGAAAAATAAATGGTGAGTGAACTGATGAATTTCTATTGTTGTACCTCGTCCATAGACTCAGGAGAAACCCAGGAATCAGCATCAAGACCCCCAGAGTCGTCCTGATGATATTCACTATCATTGTTGAACTCCCTATTAACATGAAACCCATATGTGATACACCTCAGTAGTAGATTGATATATCCCTTCAGTCCGTGTCATCCACGTCTATAACCCTGAACAACAATAGTTTTATTTTCTGTGTAGCCAGTTTTCATTGGTTGCTGCATATTCAACCCAGTCTCACGGCATTTCGTGTTATAGCCACGAAATTTATTTAATCTATTGATTCGTGTTCACCAACACGATTTTCACATTTTTTTCGTGTCACACAGAACGATTTTAAATGCAATGTATTTCTATTGGTAGTTTGTTTCGTGCCTGCACCACGTCTTTTTGTCCGGTCGGGTCTTGGAATACCAGAAACTGTGTGGTTCATAAAAACATGTTCTTACTCAATATCTTACCCTAAGCTTAACCCTATCCCTTTTATTTTAAATTGTATAATGTCTGAGTTTTTTTGCCGTCAGTGAGGAAAAGAAATGTCTCAGAGCCTCAGAATACTGACATCTGTATTTTATGTCATCTTTTTTTCCTTCTAATTTGTTATTATTTGGTGCAGGCACGAAACATACTACCAATATAAATACATTGCTTCTAAAATCGTTCTGTGTCAGAATACTTAAATCTGTATTTTTTTAAATGTCTTTTTCCTTCTAATTTGTTATTAATTACATTGCTTTTAAAATCGTTCTGTGTGACACGAAAAAAATGGCGAAATCGTGTTGGTGAACACGAATCAATAGATTAATTTCGTGACTATAACACGAAATGCCGTGAGACTGTGTTGGCATATTACAAAGTGAATCAGTTCTGGTGAATGTAGAGAACTTACCTGTTCCAACAATCAGATGTAAGGTGGAGTTACTACGTCCTAACTTGTTCTGGGCTCCACAGGAATAACTCCCACTGTGTTCAGCTCTGAAGTTAGTGATGTTGAAGATCTGTCCTGAAGCTTTTGGAGAGTCTTCATCCTCCTTGTACCAGGTGTAGTTAGCTGCTGGGTTAGCATCACTGCTACAGGTCAGAGTCACTGAACTGCCCTCCTCTATCTCAGCAGAGGGACTCACTGACACAGAGGGAGGCTTTGGAGCATCTGGAGGACGATATAGTAGTCACATTTATTAATATATACACATGTCGTCACTCGTGAAACAGACTCTACCTCCACAATGGCACAAAGCAACCAAACGAATCCCTACTTATAAATACAGTGTTAGCATAAGAGAAGTGCTGTTGTTTATTACTCACACTGGACATCTACAAATAGAGATGTAGAGTTGATCTCTCCATATTGATTCCCAGACTTGCAGTAGTAGATCCCTCTGTCCTCAGAGCTGATGGAGGTGACATGATAACTTCCTTCTGTTCCCTGAAACAGTGTTTGGTTCTTCTTGTACCAGGTGTAGTTAGCTGCTGGGTTAGCATCACTGCTACAGGTCAGAGTCACTGAACTGCCCTCCTCTATCTCATCAGAGGAACTCACTGACACAGAGGGGAGCTTTGGAGCATCTGGAGGAGATTAGTTTGCACGATTAATGATAAATTGCATCCAGCTCTCAACTAGGAAAAAATCTTTACGTCAAGGTTCTCAAAATTAGGAGATTGTGAGATTGAAGTAAGTATGAGAACCCTAAAAGACCCTTTTCAAGTGATTAAAACATAAATTACAATTGATAAACTGTATTTCCTCACATTTCACATCAACAGAGTTCATTTCAGATGTCCGTTTCCCCAGCTCGTTCTCAGCTGTACAGAAATACTGTCCAGAGTCAGAAACATGGATGGAGCTGAAGACAAGCTGTCGTTCTTTAGTGAGAGGAGGACGTTTCTGATTTCCATTCTCCTTGTACCAGGTGTAGTTAGCTGCTGGGTTAGCATCACTGCTACAGGTCAGAGTCACTGAACTGCCCTCCATGATTTCATCAGAAGGACTTACTGACACAACAGG